CCACCTGTAATCACGGCTCAGAATCGGCATACATTCTTCCATCAGCTCTTTTTCCTTTAATACATGAAAATGGGACATTTTTTGATGGTTCTGCTTTGGGTGTTTTTTAGAGTGGCAGGCAGCTAGGTAAAGGTAAAGGTTTCCCTCGCACATATGTGCTAGTCGTTCCCGACTCTAGGGGGCGGTGCTCATCTCCGTTTCAAAGCCGAAGAGCCAGCGCTGTCCGAAGACGTCTCCGTGGTCATGTGGCCGGCATGACTCAACGCCAAAGGCGCCACGGAACGCTGTTCCCTTCCCACCAAAGGTGGTCCCTATTTTTTCTACTTGCATTTTTTACCTGCTTTCGAACTGCTAGGTTGGCAGAAGCTGGGACAAAGTCACAGGAGCTCACCCCGTTACGTGGCGCTAGGGATTCGAACCGCTGAATGGCCGACCTTTCGATCAACAAGCTCAGCATCTTAGCCACTCAGCCGCCGCGTCCCTGTGGCAGGCAGCTACCAGAGAAATTCTCACGTCGATTTTGGATAAAACAGGCAAAATGAGAATTCTTCCTTCTCTATTTTTAAAAGGTTTCTGTGATGCGTCTAGAGCGGCTGGTGTTCCAAGTACTGAATTTTGTCACGTCATGTTAAATTAGAATATATTCATTGTATTACAGTCTATTAATAGTATTTTGCATGTTCTGATAGATATTATACTGGCTCCGGAAAAGAAACAGAGATAATGAAGTCTGGAAGACCAGTATTTGGGCCGGATCCTGGTTTACTGGAACAACGTATCTACTTTCCAGAAGGAGTCAGACCCCAAAAAAAAGAACAACCCAAAACAAAACTATACAATTAGAGTATTTGAACAGAGCTAGTCCTCAACTTACAACTATTTATGTAGTGAATCATTCAAAGTTACAACGGCGCTGAAATTAGTATTTTTCAAGACAATGATATAAAGGAAGTGTTTTATTATATTTAGCTTTGGATATAATTTAAGGGATAGCCTTTTGAGGGTTATATTTTGAAGAATGTTTTATTGAAGTAAAAATGTTTAACTAAAAATGGATAGCTTTTTAAAAGTTATTGAGGTATCAAAATGGTTAATTTAAAATTTAATGGATAGCTTCCTGAAAGTTTTGAAACTTATATTTTGAAGAATGAATTTAAGATTTAGAAATAACTTAACCCAATGGATTAACAGTATCTCGGAGGTTATATTCTGAAGAATGTTTTATTACAATCAGAAATTGGCATGTGGTTTATGAATGACCGAAGAGGATAAATGTTTAATTTAGAATTTTACTAGGGAGTAATGCTGAAAAAGAAGGTATGGAAAGGATTTTAGTAATAAATGTGAAATGTGATAAGATAATTTATAAAAGGAAGGTTGATGAATAACTTTTAAAAGGGGAGTTAAAAGAACGTGAGGGAGTTTTGAATCTTGTAGTAAGTTAGCATATTTTAGCTTAGATGTTCTGTCCCCGTACCATGCACACACCCAACCAGCCAGCCAAGGGTTAAATAAACTCTTCAAACCCACAACGCCAGTGATAAGGAACTTGGCAGCAACTCCGTGGCTGCCTGCCAAGAGCTTTTACTCCGATAACACAGACAAAAATACACACAGTTTGAATTAAATCCACGGCAAATAGATGTTGTGTCCGAAGGTGCAAGTGCCTAACCAGAGATTAGCTTTGTCCGTCACAGAATCCGAATGGCTACCACACTCCCTTTTATAGCCTGTGGGGTGTGGTCCAGTGACTCAGCTTAATCTCTGGCACGCCTCCTTTTCTGCTGCTCACGCTTGTCTCTCCGACGCTGGCGTGGGTCCAACCACAATGTTTCTTCGTCACTATCCGAAACACCTGGCTCCTGGCCAATCTCTTCTCCTTCGGGAGACACCTGAGGCATTGCCAGAGAGGAGGGTCCTGGAGAGGGAGGCCTGGCCGTCTCCTCTCCTTCATGTTCAGAGCCTTCTTCCTCCGATAAGATAGGCTCGGAGGATGGAGCCACAACATTAGGTTTGTTAAATGTTATACCCTATTTTTGCTCTGGGAAGTCGCGTGTGTGTGGAGAGGGGTGGATTGAAGGTTGTGTGGGCATGAAATTGTTGTAAAATTTTTAATAAAATAAAAAGATAGCGAAGTGTATTAATAGAGAAGTAAGAAATGTGGGGGAAATGTTATAATAAATGAAATGATAATATCAAGATATGATAAATATTGGCGGAGCAAGAAGAAGACACAAAAGATGTATTTAGATGATACAATGAATGATTGATTATGTATTGTTTGTTTGTTTGTTTATAAAAAATATATATAAAAAAAGTTAACAACGGCACTAAAAAAAAGTGACTTACGACCGTTTTTCACACTTACAACCGTTGCAGCATCCCCACGGACATGTGATCAAAATTCAGACGTTCGGCAACTGTCTCGTATTTATGACGGTCGCAGAGTCCCGGGGTCATGTGAACGAGTTTTGGGGACCTTCTGACCAGCAAGAGGAAGCCAGATTCACTTAATAACCATGTGAGTAATTTAACAATGACTCATTTAACCACCATGGTAAGAAAGGTTGCAAAACGGGGCACATCTCACCGAACCGTCTTGCTTAGCCACATCGATTTTGGGCTCCATTGTGGCCGTAAGTCGAGGACTACTTGTAATAAGCAGCTGGAAATGGAATATTCAGATTCAATGTAGATGTTTACAAAAGGTACATCGCTGGATGTATCCCATCCGGTCGCATTCGATTGTCAGCTGGTTTTATTTTCAGGTTAATCAAATGCTGGTTTTTGTGGCATTCTTCTTGCCTTCCTCCTTTTTTTGGGTTATGCGGAGAGAATCAAATGAATAAATAACAGATTATAGCGTGGGGCACCCATTAATAACAGTTTTATGAGACTATTCCTTCTGGTAGCTCCAGGGAGCTGCAAATTACATCTCTAGATAGTGTCTTACTGCCAGCTGCTGGGTCCCCTAAATTCTGACAAACGTCCCCCAAATGTGCCATTTTCTCGTAACACGGCGTATAAACCTTCCAATGTGCAGCTCCTTAATTACAGCCCGAAGCAATATAATCCAGGGAAAACTTTACCACTGGAGGATCAATATAACATTCAATGCGTTATTAAGGGGGGAAAATTCCGCTTTAAAAAAAAATAGCACAAAAAGTGGGTAGATTAAACTCCTTTTTATGTTGCTTGAATAATAAGAATCTTTTTTCCCAGGTAATTTAATACAGGTAAGTTTTTTCCCACCCCTCCCTCTTTCTTTATCGTATCATCTTGTTTTACTGTAACGATTCTGTATCTTTTAAAAAGCTGCATAATATATAATAATGGTTCCAGTGACATTCAGAGGTGGTATTCAGCCGGTTCGGGCAAACCGGTAGCGGACATCACAGGTGGGCCCGCTCACCTGCCCCGATGCTATGCCATACTGTTTAGCCAAGTTTTTGAGACAGGGCACATGCGTGGAAGGCGCGCATGTGAGCAAAGCACATGCGTGGACGGCTGGGCACATGCGCAGAAGGTGTGCGCATGAACTGAGTGTGCGCGCATGCAGTGAACCGGTAGTAAAAATAACTGAAACCCACCGCTGGTGACCTAGCTGTTTAGTTTATATATATTATCATTGTGGGGACAGGAAGCAAGGAAAGGTGATCACGATGTCCCTAAGGAGCTTTTTCAAGAGGCAACTGGACTTCTTTTTTCCCTTGAAGAGGTTTCGCTTCTCATCCGAGAAGCTTCTTCAGTTCTCACTTCCTGACAGTGAGAACAATAAACCAGTGGAACGACTTGCCTCCAGAAGTGGTGGGTGCTCCAACTCTTTGGAGGTTTTTAAGAAGAGACTGGACAACCACTCGTCTGAAATGGTATAGGGCAGTGATGGCGAACCTATGGCACGTGTGCCACAGGTGGCACGCGGAGCCATATCTGTGGGCACATGAGTGTTGCCCTAGCTTAGCTCCAGCGCGCATGCGTGCGCCGGCCAACTGATTTTCAGGCCTTCTGGTCCCACCGGAAGTCGGGAAACGGGCCATTTCCAGCCTCCGGGGGATAGGGAAGGCTGTTTTAGCCCTCCCCAGGTGCCAAGAAAGCCTCTGGAGACTGGGGAGGGCGAAAAACAGGCCTACCTGGTCCACCATGCCATCGCGTGCCAAAAGCGGGGAAAGCTTGGGGGAGGGTTGTGCGCACATGTGCGGGGGGGCGGGGCGGGGTGTGGGTGCGGGCACACACATGCGCAACGCCCCCGCTCTCCCCCTGCTTTTGGCACGCGACAGCAAAAAGGTTAGCCATCACTGGTATAGGGTGTCGGACTAGAAGACCTCCAAGGTCCCTTCCGACTCTGTTATCCTGCTACTGTTATGTGATAGATAATCCATTTTGTAAATTAAATGAATAATTTAATTTAGCTAGAGGGGGGGGGAAGTTAAGCTACATATGCTAGTTACATGATGAAAGTAGTAAGGTGGTCTAGAGGTAGAGCTCTCGACTCACAATCAGGAGGCTGTGAGTTCGATCCTAGGTAGAGGCAGATATTTTTGAGAATATGCTGAATTTAACTCCGCATTGGCGACAGGAACGGCATCCGGCCAGTAAACACCAGCTCCATTCAGTTACCCAGACTCTACCTCGCAAGGGATTATGGGGTCATTAAATGGAGATGATGATGACGACGATGCTAATTACGTGATGGATAATCCATTTTCTAAAATAAATGAAGAAATAAAGAGGGCTAGGCAGGAACAAAAGCATTAAAGCCAGCTATGCTTGTGCTAACACGAGGGTTGCAGAGCACTTTAACAAACACACAAATGACAACTTCGGCTTTTTAAATCCGAACTTGGGAAAAGGAACATCTGTAATGCGCTGCATGAGGTATTAAGCATGCTACTCGGGTCACAAAACCACAGCGGAAGCCATGCAAAGATGGGGAGAGGGGATTTTGGCAGAAGCACACAAAAACTCCACCGCACCGTTCAGCAAATCATGCTTACACTTACATTAGTGTCATACTCCCTTTGCCTTACGCATTTCCATCGTCTGCACAGGAAGGGGGGAAAAAAAACCAGAAAGAAGAGCTGAAAAGGGCTACCCACATGCACAGGCTAGAAAATTCATTTTCCAATCGGTCAATCGCATGGAAATATTAAGATATATAAATAAATATAAAGATCTCTACACGTATAAATCGGTCCGGAGGATTGTTAGTACCATCTAGCGGTTATGCTCAAAGACGCTGGAGGCTCTGAGTACGTTACCAATTTGTATACTGGTTGTCTTCGACTTACAACAATTCGTTTAGTGATTGTACAACAGTTATAACAACACTGAAAAAAAGTGACTTATGACAGTTTTTCACACCTAGGAGACACTGCAGCTTCCCCACGGTCACGTGATCAGAATTCAGACAATCGGCAACTGGCTCCTATTTATGACGGTCGCAGTGTCCCCCGGTCTTGTGTTCTCCTCTTGCGACCTTCGGACAAGCAAAGTCAACAGGGAAGCCAGATTCACTTAACATTCCCGTTACTTGTCAGGGATGCCCTAATTAAACCCTTCCCCCCAGGGTGTGTCATCAATCACATTTCAACCGCGACGGCCTCCTACAGCCCTCTGCCAGTGAAAATGGAGCTCTTTTAACAACTGCCTCGCTTAGTGACATAAATTTTGGGCCTCAGTTGTGCTTTTAATTTGAGGAGTAACTGTACTGGCTCGGTAGGGCTGCATATGTTATTCAAGTAAAAAAACTTTTAAGGGAACCTTCTAGAATAATTGAGACTATTCTAAGGCAATTGGTATTTTCATCAAGACGGAGATCTGTGTCTAGAGGTCACTCACCAAAATGAGATTTCCAAAAGACTATTTCTACATTATTCGTTCCTGTCTGTAAACAAAGGCAGGGACTATCTCGGTCTGCATATTATTTTGCTTTATCAACTAATTATCATTTATAGCTGTGCAGCATTATAGAGGACAGCCAATAATGATAAAACGGTTTAGAGAAGTTGTCATTTATAAACAAAGAGGAGGAGAAGTTGAGCACAGCAATTTGGAAACATACCAGCATATATTTTCTCATCAGTAGCTTGTCATTAAATCTTGCTCTTATCTTCTCCAATATCCCTGCACTCCCAATGCCCTTGCATTTAAACCCATCGTCTTTTGGCAATTCTTCATTTTCCTTTCCTCTTTCTAAGATAGTACAAGATCTGCTTGGATCGGCCTCAAGAACGAAGCAAAATTCCCACTCTTGTTCAGTTAGCAGCCTTTATAGGTTTTATATTTGCTCCAAAGCTTATTAAAAGAATAACAGAGTTGGAAGGGATCTTGGAGATCTTCTAGTCCAACCCCCTGTTCAAGTAGAAAACCCTACAGCATTTCAGACAAATGGCTGTCCAATCCCTTCTTAAAATGCGCCAATGATGGAGCACTCACAGGTTCTGGAGGCAAGTCATCCTACTGATTAGTTATTCTAAATGTCAGGAAATTTCTAGGTTGGATCTCTCCTTCATTAGTTTCCCTCCATTGTTTCCTGTCCTACCCTCTGAAGCTTTGGAGAATAGACTGCTTTGTGGCAGCCCCTCAAATATTGGAATACTAAATTACTGTACTCTAAAAGAACATTCTTCATCGTTTTGTCGTTCACAGTTCTTTTTAAATCACAAAAACAAATAAATAATTTATATCAGCCCGTAACACTTTCCCCAAGATTTCAGAACCGGAAAAGACTTCCTTCACCTATTAACAGTAATGGGATTCAGCCGGTTCGGGCCAGTTCAGGCGAAGCGGTAGTTAAATTGAAGGCTGGCCCCCTCCCCTCCCCACCCCTTCTAGTAGTCCCCACACGCTCCATTTTGGCTCCCAAGTAAGTGCAAGGAGGCTTACTAGGCCCAAAACAGGGTTCTGGGGAGTCCGGCGGCCCCCCTGCATCCCGTTTTCGCTCCCAGGAGGCTTCAAAGAGGCCTCCTAGGCCCAAAATGGAGCACAGGGGGGGCGGTATCCCCCTGCGGCCTGTTTTTGCTCCTAGGAGGCTGCAGGGAAACCTACTAGGCCCAAAATGGGGCACGGGGGGGCGCATCCCCCCCGCAGCCCATTTTTGCTCCCAGGGGGATGCAGGAGGCCAAGTGCTGCCTGTCACACCCCCTGGCCACGGCCACCACAGCCACAGCCACAGCCACCACGCCAGTCATTAGAGCAGAGAACCGGTTGTTAAATTATTTGAATCCCACCACTGCCTATTAAATTTTATAAACTTTGGCTATTCTGTTCCCTGCATTCCGGGGTTACAACTCCGAAACAGCTCCTTGTTGCCATAGAGATTTATCGATGCTCAATTTTCCTTTAAAAGTTTGGAAAAAAAATATGACGAAGAGGAAGCGAAGATTGCGGATTTCTGCGGCTCAAGGCTTAGTTCAGAACAAACGCTGCTGGACTTCCAAGAAACTTTGATTTGAGAATGAAAGTAAATTTTTTATTTATTTATTTATTTATTTATTTATTTATTTATTTATTTATTGATTGATTGATTGATTGATTGATTGATTGATTGATTTGTATACCGCCCTACTCCCGAAGGACTCAGGGCGGTGAACAGCCAAGCAATAAAATACATAAATACACAAAATTTAAAACCAGATAAAATCAAATTAAATCATTTTGGCCCAGACAGATTAAAACACCCCAATAATTTAAAAACAGATTAAAATTTACATATTAAAAGAGGGAGGAGATTAGGCCAAGCCGCTTGATATACATGTCCCAGGATAAATGTTGTAAGCAGCAATCTGGGTTAGTTACCGGGGGGGGAAAAAACCCTTTGCTGACCCAGATTGGAGTTTGAAACTTTGATTGGTTCCACTAAAAGCTCTAAATTTAAGCACTACCTCCTTCTCCACTGGATTTGAGAATAAATAATCTGGTTTGATGAGCCTTACTTTCCCCCCCTGATACCAGAAAAGTTCTTCTTCTTTTTTTTTTAAATTTGATTTATATGCCGCCCTTCTCCGGAGACTCAGGGCGGTTTACAATGCGTTAAGCAATAGCCTTCATCCTTTTGTATATTTATACAAAGTCATCTTATTGCCCCCACAAACTGGGTCCTCAATTTACCTACCTTAGAAAGGATGGAAGGCTGAGTCAACCTTGAGCCTGGTGAGATTTGAACTTACAGTAATTGCAGACAGCTGGTGTTAATCACAATGCTATTAGTCTGCTGAGCCACCAGGCCCGTTTAAATGCTTCCCACAAATAGCGGCACTCTGTGTAAACCAGGACGTTAGACGGATTGTTAAAAACCATTACTTAGGAAACGGGTTTACCAAAGCAAGATTCTCAGGGGATACCCATAGAAGGATCGGAAGAAGATCGTGGTTTAATATCTTGTTCCAGTAAAAGGAACCACTTTGCTGAAATGTCAGCATTGTTTTATTCATAGCCTGCTTAAATCTAGGCAAGTGAGTCTAAAAAGCTTTATATGGGGCAGTCTGAAAAGATGGCGGAGAAAGCATCTGGAACGTGTTAAACACGATGCGAATTCTGCATCAGCTGCTTGGCTTCAAAGAAGTCAGCGTTATCCCTTTGGGGTCTCTGAATCAAAGTTAAGGATGCTGCCAGATTTTGTTAAATTACGGCTGCTAGCAGACCCAACACTTACAGCTAATGGTAAGAGTTATAGTTTTATCTGCAGCCTCAGAGTTTCATCGCCTGTCTTGAGTCTAGGATCATGTATTTCCCTACCACCAAAGGGGGCTACATTTGGGCTGGAAAAATCCAGAGAACTACAAAATGGCAGCAGAAAGTTAATGGTTTCTTTCCTTCCTTCCTCTTCTATCTCCTTCCTTCTTTCCCTTTCTCCCTTCCTCCTCCTTCTCATATATTTTCTTTCTTTCTTTCTTTCTTTTCTTTCTTTCTTTTTCCTTCCTTCCTTCCTGTTATATACCTTCCTTCCCCCCTTCCTCTTTTCATATACCTCCTTCTTTCCTTTCTCTTCTTCCTTCCTTTCCCTTTCTCCCTTCCTCCCTCTCATATATCTCCTTCCTTCCTTCCTCTTCTCATATACCTCATTCTTTCCCTCCTTCCTTTCTCTTTTCATATACTTCCTTCCTTCTCTATCTTCTTCCTTTTTTCTCCTTCTCCCTTTCTCCCTCTTCTCATATATCTTTCTTTCTTTCTTTCTTTCTTTCTTTCTTCTTTCTTTCTTTCTTTCTTTCTTTCTTTCTTTCTTTCTTCTTTCTTTTCTTTCTTTCTTTTCCTTCCTTCCTTCCTCTTATATACCTCCTTCCTTCCCTCCTTCCTCTTTTCATATACCTCCTTCTTTCCTTTCTCTTCTTCCTTCTTTCCCTTTCTCCCTTCCTCCCTCTCATATTCCTTCCTTCCTTCCTTCCTTCCTTCCTTCCTTCCTTCCTTCCTTCCTTCCTTCCTTCCTTCCTTCCTTTCCTCTTCTCATATACCTCATTCCTTCCCTCCTTCCTCTTTTCATATCCTTCCTTCCTTCCTTCCTTCCTGTCTGTCCGTCCGTCCATCTGTCCGTCCGTCCGTCTTCTCCTATCTCTTATCTACAGATCCGTTTATATATAGATTTGTACTTATATATCAGCTCCAGAAAACTACCTCTGTCCTCAGCAGAATCTTAATGGGAGAAACAAAATACTTCTTGGTAGTAATTTCTAGATTGAGATTCCATTGTTTAGGGCAGTAAAATTTTTTTTAAGGCACTGCAAGGATCTGTGCTCTCTCCTCTCCTATTTAGCATCTACATCGGACCACTGACTAGTTTGCATTTGTCACCCTGGGCTGAACCATCATCTGGTTGGCTGATGATACCCAACTGTACATTTCTGCTCACACTGAACTGAGCCATTCTGTAGACATCCTCTCCTGGTGTCTGGAGGCTGTGAAGGTCTGGTGCAGGGTCAGCAACCTGCGGCTCTGGAGCCACATGTGGCTCTTTCATCCCTCTGCTGAGGCTCCCTGTTGCCGGTCGGCTCCACAATTGATAGGGTTTTCGGTTAGGACAGGTAGAGGAAAAAGGATGCCGTGCA